TATCCAAACAAGAGCCAAGAAACATTCAGACAGAACGAGGTGGGGACGGTTGGGAGGGGCTGAAAGAAGAGAAGCCAAAGCTCTCAGTTCACAATGTGAAGCACCCTCGTGCGGGGACGAGAAAAAGAGGGTGGGGGGTGGGGCTGTAAGTGCCGAAAATTTCAAGCACCTCCGACGGTAGAATCGCTTACCTGTGTGTCTTTGATCAGGCACAGGCTGGCGACGATGCCTGGGCACTCTTTAGACCTCCACTTGTCTTTCATCTTAAGGTACGTATCCATTTGTTGCGTATCACCGTTGCGTATCACTGCTGCGTAACATCGTGTCGTATCACCATATGATACATTTTCAACGATGCAATGCTTGCCCGTCCACATTGACACACAACGGTGATACGATACGAGGATACGCAACAAGTGGATACGCAGCTTTAGATGTATCTTGAAATATAGGGGAGAGTGGGTATGTTGGATCAATTTTCGATTTAAACCTTTTCGTCTTGCCACGAATGCTCTGAAGAAAACCCGAGTACGTCGCACTCATCGAGACATTACTGTATCTCTAAAAAATGTCTCCGAAAAAAAAAATGAATTTCCTCTCAGCATATTGCGCCCATCAAACGGGTGCAACTCAATACCGAAACATCATAACTTCATTAAGTTTATTAACTTCAGCAACTTTTATAACTTTATATCCAAGTAGATACTTAGGCGCTCGGTTTCAGGTGGACCACCCAGTATATAGCGTACAAGTATGTACATGGGATCGAGAGCAGAAGTGCCTACACACAGATCCTCGAATGGAAAACCATGAGAAACGAGGCGAGACTAGATGGAAAGATGTCAAGAGAGGGAAGATGCAATTAGGGGTGAACAACCTTGCGTGGATGAAATAAAACGGGAAAGGGAGGGGGGGGGGATAAATGAATATCCCCGAACGGGGATATGAAATAGGTCGAAGTAAAAATAATGAGGAGTAGGAGGAAGATCGATGGGGATTCAGGCTAGAAAGAGATACAAATACGAGGACCAGGTGGTGTCGTCGGAAAAGGGAGGGGGGAGGTTGGCAAGACTCGTAAATCGTGAGATATGAAGAGGACGACTGGCAGAGAGGACATTTGAACCAGATAAAGAGAGGACTCGAGAATCGGAGTATTGATAATCCCTCTGACAATCCTTGTTAAATGTAGTCCGACCAGATTACCCGATTGGGCGACGTTGCCTTTCCCTTTTTTGCATCCTCGTTGTGGTACAGAAAAAGACACCAGGGTAGGGGTTGTCCTATCGCATTGTCAAGGCAGGAGGATAGGTACGAGGCGAGGAGGAAAGGATACAAGCAAACAGCAGAAAAGTAGCACCGGGATAGCAGACAGAGAGTGGACGTGATAAGAGAGAAGGGGCGCAGGAGGAACGGTAGCGTAACCAGGGCCGTTACTAGATTGTTGGCCACCCGTGGGCATAAACAATAGCGTCGATGTTATTAATTTAATATTATTTAATTATTGTTGTGTTTACTTCCATATATATAGAAAGATAAAAATAGTAATATATTCAACTTAAATAAAATTATTTATTTGTTTAGGATCTTGGTTTCATTTTGTGCAAATGAAGACTAAAAAATACTCCTTTCGCATGGTAACCGTTAAACAACTATATACAGGGTGTATTTGCATGAGGAATATGCATATTTCGAATTCCTTTTACATATAATCCACCAGCATTAAAGAATTCGTTTCTTCGTAGTGTCAATAATTAAATAATATACTATTTAATAATATACAGTAAACAATAATATTATGATTATATTCTTATGTAACTTTGTACTAAATAGTATTTATCCCGTCAATAAATAAATAAATAGAATAAAGAATAAACGGTCTACGGCCGCCCCTGGGTTTAGCCGCCCACGAGGGGGGGGGCACCGTTCGCACTTTATACTACAGGGTATTTATCCCGTTACTAAATAAATAAATAAAATAAAAAATAATATAAATATTTCATAAACTATGTACGGCTGCCACTCCGGGGGCACCTTTTGCACCCCCTGCCAGGAACGGCCCTGAGCATAACCGAGAATCAACGCGAAAGACAGAGTATGTACGACATCGCCGGGAGTGGGGCGATGGGGAGGGGGTTAAAAGTGACGTCACGTCGGGTCGATACTCACCCACACTCCCATTTCCCGGCATCTCGTGACCGAACGGCGGGTGGCGCAGGCGCGGCCTCGTACGCTCCTGAGCGGCTCCTTCCCGCCATATTAGCCCAGCATGGGGTAGGATGTGTGCGACAGGGGTGGCTGCTCGGGCTGCTTCATCTCCCGTAAGGTAATTTCGCGTACTCTGGTCGCGTGGTACCTCAACTCGCGGCGGTGTCCACTCGGCTGGGAGACCAACGAACCTCTCCGAGGGTGCCAAAGGGGGTTCAGAGCCGTTCAGGCCAGAGAAAGTAGGGTGGCGGACATCGTACAGTGGCACGAATCTATCCACGGTGTGCTCCCTCTCGAATCCTACGAGCTGCGAACGCATGGATACGTGGGACGCTGAACTGATACGCGCGGGGAGTCGAACGGTGGAGGGTGAAACCAACCTAAGGAAAGAGGAACAGGCCTGGACACCAGCCAGGGCCGCTGGGAGCTGGACGAAGTGCGAGGAGATCGGGCTGACCGAGGACGGCTCGGACAAAAGGGACTGCAAAACGGACGCGCAAGTGTGGATGTCCTTGTTGTCCATCTGCGGACGGATGTGCGGCTCGGCCGCGTGGCTCGTGCTCTTCACATGCCTCCACGGGGTGCGTTTCTTTGCGTGCTTCCTTCTTCCATTTTTTTTTTTTTTTTTTTTTTTTTTTTTTTTTTTTTTTTGTGGAACTGGTACGTCTGGAGATCCACCAGTTGTACTCGTGAGCCTGGTCATTGCAAACGAAGTGGTCTTATTTTTTAATGAATGTAATTTTTTGTGTACGTTTACCCTTACATGTTGACACTTCGCAACTAGCGTCAATTTGACCTTATGATTTTTTGTTCACACGTAGGACGTGTATTTGTGACGGGCTTGCGTCATGTGGTTTTAGGGGTTCGTGGAAATTAAAATATCTCAGTGGCTGGTAATCGTAGGAAGATGGGACAAACAAGATCTTCTTCGTAAAAGAACAGGTTACAATTATTGTCCTGTAGAGTTTTATCCTAAACCTAACTCGAATAGCCAAAATTTGAGTGTAGTTTGCAAGTTTGATTGTTAGAAAAATGAGAAGTTCAATTGGAAGATTTTTTCAAAAAGGAGTAAAGTATCGAACTTAATTCTTGTATTTCTTGGTAGAGCACATGCCAGTTTAGTTGACTGATCAAGTGCAAGTCCGAGACTTTCAATCCCCTTTTTGTTCTGTAACTTTTCAAATATTCCAATTTTTCCAGGTTCTTTTCTGAAAAAGATTCTGTTTATCCCTTGTTACTATGATTAGCAAACACTGAGCTATTTTAATCAACAACAAATTAATTAACTGACACTGGATTTGAAGTGTCAATATATAGGGATAAACATTTACGACGAATTAGACTTTTTAAAAAAGACATTGGACCACTTCCTTTGGAATGACTACTACCAGTCTGCTGCTTTGAAGACTATGTGAACGAGGGTATTCTTCTGATTAGTTTGAAAGGATCATTGGTGTCTGGGGGTTGATGTAACCTACACTGAACATCACCTGATCATCAGGAATCTAGATCCACCACTTGGACACTTTATAGTCTTCAGTGATTTAGGGGTACCATGATACCTATGCCTATGAATCATCTATGATCTACCTCTGAAGCCTATATGAAACATTGAAGAGTTAGGTTATTCTGCATAGTTTGAAAGGATCATTGGTGTCTGGGGGTTGATATAACCTACACTGAAAATCACCTGATCATCAGGAATCTAGATCCACAACTTGGACACTTCATAATCTTCAGTGATTTAAGGGTACCATGATATACTATAACTCTAGAAATAGAGCCATCTATTTCATGTATACATTATAGATTTCGATTGGACTTGCTAGCTACTTCTGAAGCCTGTGTGAAACATTGAAAAGTTAGTTTATTCTGTTGATTAGTTTGAAAGGATCATTGGTGTCTAAAGGTACCACTACTCTGAGAGTTGATGGAACCATACTGAACATTACCTGATCATCAGGAATCTAGATCCACCACTTGGACACTTCATAGTCTTCAGTGATTCAGGGGGATACTGTAACTCTAGAAATAGATCCATCAATTTCGTATACATTATACAGTAAATCCTCCATGAGTGTTCAAAGGCTCCTCGGCGTTAACAGGAATAGATCCCCAGGTATAATGCTGACTTTTTAATGAGGTTTGGCACATCGATAGAGCTTGGAATTATGAAGCCAATGATATTTATTCCAGTCCCATACGATTATTAGTTGATGAAATATTTCATGTTCAGTGCCGAGGAGCCTTCGAACACTCATGGGGGTTTTACTGTAGATTCCGTTTGGACGGCTGACGATCATGTGACCTCATGGTTCTCTGCATCAGTGTTTAACAAAAGAATGCCTACTCTGTTTTTTTGGGGGGGGGGGGGACACATCGAACGCGTGCATCCCTGAGGGGTTGCACTGGCTAAAAGCGCTTGAAATTTTTACGAGCCTTTAATCAGCCTACCGATTGAAGTCTCGCGTGTGACCACCATAAAAAAAATTGGTTCCCATTTAGCCTGGTTTACAGAAGCCTTTCAATCTGCTACTTTCTACCCAAAAACCCTTTCGTGCTTGAACAAACACGTGAAACTGTATATTAATCCGGAAAATTTTTTTATGTAACTATTTAGTCACGTGTGCGTGGGTCAATAAAAATTGAATGTGTTTAAAATATTTTAATAATTCTATAAATTTAATTGTTTTTTTCTTCGATTATCATAGAGACCCCTTGGACAGAAATTAATCGATGTTCTAGGTGGTGTATAGAGAAAGTTGTGCTAATCAGTGCTATTAATTTCGTTGCAGGAGGGCCGGGGAGAAGTGACAGACATAAGCGCAAGTCCTGGGAGGCAAGCACCTGCCAACCAGTTGCGCCCCAAGGAACCACCCCCCATGGTCATACAAGGAGACTTCAGAAAGGTACCCCAGTGACATTTTCTTACTAACGAATTGCCGCGATACATTCGACAAAGTGCAATAATCCCGTTGTTCCAACCACTGGTTGCTAAATGATACCAGTTACGTATATCTCCAACCAGAAATTTTATATACGGGGTGTCCCATTTAACCCTTATCAATTTTAAAAGTGTTTTTTTTTTAATATAAATTATATAATTATGTTGTAGTCCATTTTTTTTTTGAAATACTTAAATTATCATAGGATTCACAGTATCGATTGAAATTAAACTCAACCCCTGTGTAGGCAACCGGATACCCGGGATAACAGAGTAATTTCTACCGATCACAATTCGTGATTCACCCTGTATACTGTCTGAAGTAAAACAAACACCTAGAACGAAGAAGCAATCGATCGGTCGAAATGATTGGCAAGCTAGAAAGAAAAATCGAGTTAGAATGAAAGTATCCGATCGATTTAATCCCCTGCGTGAAATTGTTCCGTCTAGAATGAAATTATCAACGTTGCGTTTCAAGGCAAGTGAATACCAGCCTTTAATTACTCGTGCTTCCGAAGGTAGCTGGAACAGTTTCACGCAATACTCGTAATCAGTTTCCACGTTCTCATTACATCCGTTGAAGTAGAAGGACCCGACGTTCCAGGTGAGCGGGATCAGCACAGAGATCTTCAAGCAAATCGAGACCGTCGAGAACGATCATGACGCCTCGACAGCAGCGGCCCTCGAGGCTGTCGAACGAAGGGGTGAAATGGTCGTGCGTGTCATCGAGCCACCACAAATGGGCAGGCAGGCATCTGCGGCGGCGAAAAAATTCATTGCCATGCAGGTATGTCGCAACCATCCACGAAGTCATCGAAATCCCTTAACCTCAAAAACACTTTTGGTCCAGATAGCCTAGTAGTCCTAGGCTGAAAAAATACTACCCTGGACGAAGTACTTACAAGAGAAGGCACGGAAGTGTCCCTCTCCGATTTTGATAAAATTTCATATGTCTGTTAGGCAGTCAAAAATAAGAGAGAACTGAGACACGACTTTAAGGGGTGAAACCGCCCCTCGAAGTTTCGATCTGAAATTTTTTTGTTATAAACAAATTATATTTCGAACAATTTGTTAGTACCATATTATTCTACATAAAATACCGCAAATCTCGTGCATTAGAAGTTTTCATGTATCTCCTATGGTTTTCGAGATAGTACTTTCGGGTCGAAACTTCGAGGGGTGGTTTTACCCCTTAATGTCGCGTCTCAGCCGACAAAAAAAATACGTATCCCTTATTTTTGACTGCTTAACGCACATACGGAGTTTCATTAAAATCGGAGAGGGACACTTCCGTGCCTTCCCTTGTTAGACGTAAAAGAATCACTTTGCGAAGACCCTAGTACCTCTATCTAAACTCTGAAACTTTTGGAAGATGGGATAAGAAATCCCGCAATTCCTAAATTTCACTGGCCCAATAATAATATGTTAACAAGAGGAGCGCCAAGGTCTAGACACTATACAGAGTGCCCCAAAATAGTTGTGAATCCTTGAAAGGGATGATTGAAAGTTGTTTCAAATCACCCCCTTCAAGGATTCACAACTATTTTGGTACACCTTGTATACAAGTTATATAGTACACAACATAGCATTACAAAAAACCCTTATTGGTTTTCGCAGAATGGGCCTTCGTTTTCGAGATATTCTAGTTTAAAGTTATTTTCGAGAAGCCTTCGGACAATGATCGAGGGTTTACTGTATAACGTCGTAAAAATCCCGGGTCCATTTTCGTCCCTCCTCCCCCATTTGGCCGACCGGTGTAATTACTCCGTGGACAATGAAGTAATCCCGGTTCGGCGCGTTTTCTTGTTTTGTCGCCTTAATACCATGGAATGTTTGCTGGCAATGTCACCAGCTTCGTTGCTTCCAGGACCCAAAGCACCCTATCCACTTTGTCGAGATAATCAAAAGGCCGGGACAAACGCTCGGGCTCTATATACGGGAGGGTAACGGGGTCGACAGGAACGACGGTGTCTTCATCTCGAGGATAGCCCTGGAGACCGCCGTCTACAACAGCGGCTGCCTGAAGGTGAGATGCTCCTTTCTATATATTTTTTTCCTCCTTCTGCAACAAGCGAGAAAACCTAATTGCTGCCTTCGCTTCGTACCTCGTGGCTGGGGACAATTCGGTGGTTCACGGAATTTATTAAAACTCCAAGCTCCCTTTGGGGTACTGAACAATTAGGTTAACTTGTAAGCTGGACCCTTGTCAGGATGCAACCGTCTATGGGATACACTTTTTCATTTTGTATAGACTCTAGTCCCCAGGAGGATATGTGCCTGTACTGTGAGGTTATGTCATAACGATGCATAGTGTTGAGTTAGGGCATCTATAAATCTATCGATACTATAGATCACGAGTATTGAAACTATAGGACTATAGAGACTCTAGGAATATAGAGACTCTGGAACTATTGACACTCTAAGACTATAGAGACTCCAGGACTATAGAGACTCTAAGACTATAGACACTCTAAGACTGTAGAAACTATAGGCAGCACTGTAGATCTATAGATTCTATAGATTAGGTTTATGCAATCTAGGACTACAAAGACTCGAAGAATACAGAGACTCTAGGACTATAGAGACTATAGGTAGCCCTGTAGATCTATAGATTCTATAGATGAGGACTATAGGATCTGGGACTATTGACACTCTAGGACTATAGAGACTATAGGTAGCCCTGTAGATCTATAGATTCTATAAATGAGGACTATAGAATCTAGGACTACAAAGACTCTGGGACTATTGACACTCTATGACTATAGAGACTATAGGTAGCCCTGTAGATCTATAGATTCTATAGATGAGGACTATAGGATCTGGGACTATTGACACTCTAGGACTATAGAGACTATAGGTAGCCCTGTAGATCTATAGATGAGGACTATAGAATCTAGGACTACAAAGACTCTGGGACTATTGACACTCTAGGACTATAGAGACTATAGGTAGCCCTGTAGATCTATAGATTCTATAGATGAGGACTATAGAATCTAGGACTACAAAGACTCGAAGAATACAGAGACTCTACATAGGACTACAGAGACTATAGATTCTATAGATAGAGTCCTGCTAGATGTCCTACATTTTAGTTTACGGTTGACCACCTGGCGATCATCACTTTATAGGAATCCTTTAATCCCTTGCAGATACCTTTACAAATCTTTCTCTATTTTTGTCATTAGGTAGGGGATGAGATCCTCGCGGTGAACCTGGTCGATGTGACGCACATGAGTCTCGATGACGTGGTGATCATCATGTCGATACCCAGGAGGCTAGTCCTCGCGACGAGACACGGCCAGCATCAGCCGATCTCGCATAGTCGTCAGACCGAGCACAAGGCACCGCCTGTGGTCGTTATCAAAAGAGATCTGAACGAGGATGAGAACGATCATTCGACGAGCAATCACATCAGGTATCCAATTGATTCAACCCAACCCAGACCTAACCTAATTTAGTACCAGAAAGAATACAGAAACTGATGACCTTGTTTCGTTCACAGAGACGGTAATCGTAGACGTGGCGACGGTCGCGAAATGCTGCCATCCAGGTCGCGATTGGGTCTGACAGGTCTAGGATCCAGTCAGGATCTTGGATCCAGCAACGGTGATCTGTACTACAATTCCAGACCGGAAGGACATTGGTCCTACCAACCTCCGCCACCGCCAGTCATCACGCATCAGCCTAAACCCTCTGCGACGCAACATTTCCAGCCGTACGAGCGTGGATACCCGAAAACATTGGAGAGTTTGGCTGAAAAAGTAAGTCCTTCAGTGATGATTCGCTTATTGTCAAAGATTCTGACGCAGGTCGAGATTTTATTTGAAAACAGGGGAGGATTCTGAGGCTATCCGATACACTTCGATTAAAAGTTCACTTTTAAACTATAAAGTGGAACCTGGTGAAACAGCTAGATCCTAAAATGCTAGGAAGACCTCAATAAAGTTAGAGTACTGTTATAGATCTCCACCTGTCGTCAGAAGTAGATCACACATAGATGTTCTAGACGATGTGGATCGAGCACCCTTTCACATACCTGTTTGCACCAAGTTGACACTTGTTTGCCTTTCTCTGTCTTCGATTGCAATCGCGATTAATCAGAAAATGGTGAATTCGTGGCAATGTCTCGAGACACTCTTGATAGTAAATCAGTATGATATGCGTACCGTCCGTATGCTCAAGCCACTCGGAGCAGAATGATTTTTGATCGGTGAAACGGAAGTATTAAGCATCTGGGTATCGTATAAACATCCGAGCTGTTCCAGTGGTTTGAAAAATTGAACGGTACGCAGTTCAACCGTGTTTCGACGACGTAATTTCACATGACTAATTGGTTCTGTGAATGAATGCTACATTGATATTAACCAGGATTTCACAAAGGTAAAGAAAACCACAAACTCTTTCTTGATATCTAGACTTGTGTATGAGCGCAATATATTCTGCACCGTATCCGACCTGGACAGACAAGTATTTGTTTACAGAGATTCCTATTTAACCGTTTCATTAAAAAAAAAAAAAAAAAGAAACACTATGTTTTAATGTTCAGATTTTTTCAAAAAATAGCGACACATCTGACAAAGACAAATATTCGTTAATGTCCACGTGAAGTTGAACTCGCCTATGTGTATATCCCCACTGGTAATGTGAGAATCCTACTTTATGTTGCCTCATCAGCTTTGCTATGCGTTCGTTCGTTTCGATTTCTTTCTTTCTGAGTATTCTCTGCCCACGACGATCCGTGATTGTCATTAGTCACACGATAGATGGATCCGACAAAGCCAAGTAAAACGATTCAAAAACTTCTGATAAAGTCCTCTAAATAATGATCCATTGATCGTGATGACTCAGTACTTAAGAATCCCTCGATCACAGCCTGCCCGAAGTTAGACTACTGAAAGTAGATCCTGCAAGGATGTCTAAGTGAATGGACTGTGAACGAAGGGTCTGACGAACCGTTATTGTCCGAACGGAACAGGGCTATACTGATGGTCGTTCATAAATTTAGGTACACTCGTTTTACACGGGGCCGGTAATGCCCTCGAACGGCGGCCGTCGGATGTCCACGGGTGCAGGGATGCAATCGGTTGGAAGTAGATTGTCTGGTCAAACACAATCCTCCCATTACGGGTACGGTCAGCATACGGGAAGTGGACGAATCATGCCCAGAAGTGGCTCGGATCAACATCTGCCCCGTGTCGATTACACGAGCATAACCACTCCAGCTCGGCACACTCTTCTCAGATCCAGTCTGAAGTCAGGTTAGCTGACTTCCGTTGATTCGCCAAAATAGTTGGTAGACTCTTGAACCCTACTGGCTTCTTTCCACCTCCTATAGGTACATCAGGGTTGAGATACAACACGAGATACGCTACACAAACGGACTCATCGACCACGCAACGACAGGGCCAATTTGGCACCCTGACGAGGAGACATCGACCCTCGTTGGACTATGCGTCTGACACCGAGGCGACCTGTTCCAGCTCGCCGAAATCGGCGTACTATTATTACAGGCACAACATGAACAATCCAACGCAAAGCAGCGCTGTCTCCCACCTGGCGACACTCTCCAGGTCGCAGATTGGTCAGAGTTCCTCCGGTTCGTTAATGTCACTCGCATTATGCCAGAAGCGACTTGTCCAAGTTGTCTAAATGGTACTAAAAGCGGCCCGTTGTCCCCAGGCTTGAGATCCAACTCGTTGCCCCGCAGTGGCAGAACGTTGCCTCAACAACCCGGTCTCAGGACTGGACTTAGCACAGTAGCATCCGGATTGATCGATCAGGAGGACAGCGACGGGGCACTGTCGGCGCCTGAATTGCCTTCCATTCGACGTGACAGAGGTAGTAGACTAATTTACATTCCGTACATAGGATGTTCCAAAAAGATGGGACAAGTAATGTGCATATTCCTCGTGCAAATACAAATCGAAAAGTCCTTTACCGTTTTGTAATCCGATGCTCCATTCCCGAGATATTAGTAGTTAAATGAACTCCAATCAGCTGAGCGGTGGGACACACGCGTACCCGCCCACCGCTCAGCTGATTGGAGTTCGTTTAACTACTAATATCTCGGGAATGGAGCATCGGATTACAAAACGGTAAAGGACTTTTCGATTTGTATTTGCACGAGGAATACGTATGTTGCGGGTTGTCCCGTCTTTCTAGGACAACCTGTGTATTTTTGGAGCTAACCAACCGAGGAATACAACGGTACATGACTGTCCGACAGGGAGAATACCATTGTCGCCTAGTGTGTTCACATCGGACGAATACAAAGCATGGTTGAGTCGAACACCCAGCACAAGCGCCTTATATGAACAAATCAGGGCGACCACTACCAGGCCGCCACGTTATACCTACAGCGCGGAGAATATTCACGCGGCTGCGAATCAAGTACGTGGACTTGGAGGGTAAAGAGTATTGCAGGATAAGAGGATCAAAAGTGATCTTACACCGATTTGGACTTGTGATATATCATTCGATAGCCTGTCAAGAAAAAACAGTTTGTGCCAAATTTCAACCCTCTGTCTCGACCGAGAGGGTAGTAATAAAGAAAATTCGGATTATTACCTGTATTCTTTAGCGTTTTTGATTTTTTACAACTAGGATACTCAACTAAAAAATCGCAAAAAATTCTCCAACGCGTGCCCCAGTAAGTACTATCCATCAGATTTTTTTACAGAATTTTTGCACGTCATGAAACAGGAAAAATAGAGGAAAACTACCCCCCTGGTCGAGATACGGAGTTGAAACATTGGCACAAACTGTTTCCTCTTGACAAGCTATCGCATGGTATATCACAATTCCAAATCGGTCTAGGATCACTTTTGATCCTCTTATCCTGCTATACTCTTTCGAAGATTAAGAGCGTTCTAATCTCTCGTTATGATAACAGGGTGAATATGGCAGCTACGGTGGCTATAGACCGCTCTCGAGCACATTGGACCGCCTCTCAACGAGGTCAGCCTCGGCGCAACAGGTGAACCTGGCCAATTTGAGAGCATCGACGGCGATCAGCTCCACGTGCCACCGCGGAACGATAAACCCAAGACCGGCCTCTGTGGCATCAAGCGCCCGTACATCGTTGACGAGTCAGAAACCGTCTCTGAGCAGCTCGACCGCTCAGAGGGCGACATCGGTCAGGAGGATCCGAAACCTGTTGGACCTAGAGTCAACGAGAAGTATACCGACTCCCACGCCTACCAGAACTCAGGATCAAAGACTGCTAGATATTAACCCTGCAGGTGGGAAGAATCAATGCAGTGTTCTGAGATGATTATCCTTAATTCTCTATACTGAAATATTAACTTTTGTTCTTGCTTTAGAGTTCCTCAAATATAAAATAGAGAAGCCGCCCACTGTAGGGACTCCGAGCTCGACCAGTTCCCTCCTGAGTTCGCTCGGGGAGACCAGCGGCGGCAGCGGCGATTTGGCCGGTGGTGTCAGCGGATTGCTCTGGGTCTATCTCCTGGCTGGACGTGGACTTCGGTCGACGACGTCCTCGTCAGCAGCCACCACACCCTCCACGCCATCAGGTCAGCCTAACTTAGGTACGTTCGGGAGTATGCACATCCTTTAGTCGTTTCTTTCCCATTGCACAAAGAGACCTATTCTGAGAGAAGGATTGCTTTGCTTTCTCTAAAAGCCTATGGTAGATCCTCTATCCCTAAACTCTCGAATATTAGAAAATATTCTACAGTTTAAGGTATAGCCTTTCTTAACCCTAGAGCAAACCGTAACACAGAACTAGGGTGGCTCTGGGGTTAGAGCGACACAATTAAATTGTCAAGTCTATCGAGCATTCTCTGTTACTCGACTACCAAAACAGCTAGCTGTGGGTTGAGAGACCTGTACTGCGTGCTGGAGTGCGACAGGGTGCACAAAGCCAGAACAGTGGTACGTACCGGTGACCTGATGTTCGACTGGGACGAGACCTTCGAGCTGGATCTCGTTGGTAACCGGCAGTTGGACCTGCTTGTCTATTCCTGGGACCCGCAGTACAGGCATAAACTTTGCTACAAGGGATCCGTACACCTGGCCACTCTTCTGAAGGAGTCGCCTGTCCACCAACTGGCTGTCAAAGTCGAACCACGTGGCACAATCTACTTAAAACTACGGTATACCGATGCTCAACAAACCTTCAGGAGGAGAGGACTTCCGGTGATATCTCTGGCCACCAGAGTTGCACCTCTTTTCGGAGTTGATCTCGACACTGTGGTGAGTTAACCTTTTCATTACTGCTGGCGCCTAGAGGTGCTTTGAAAATTTCCTTCCAATGTACTGTTGGCGCTTATCACATTACCTAGTTGTTAGGTTCTGTAGATTCAAGAATCAACAGCCAAGGAACTATTATTAAACAGTTTAATCACAGTAGCACATTACATTCATGGAAAATAGCAAAACTCTAATAGAATAACGTAACAATTTCTTCTGTAACGCTGATCTAAGGGTAATATTAATAGGCTTCTTATCTATAAGCACTGAAATTTAAAAGCCTAAAGGGCAATAAAGTGTTAACTTATAATTAGTTCTGTCCGCTGATACGAGGGGCGCCTATAGGCGCTTACTTCACATTGCTCGAAGCAAACTGAAATCTCGTCTACAGGCGCCCCGCAAACGGCAAATCTTATCGGCAATGATAACAACAAATTTCGCTTGTATTAGACGTAAATAAATTTTGATTCAGCAAGTACATTTTCCATTAGTCATATATTACTTAAACTTGATTACTTTATATACAGTTATTTCGTTTTGTACCCTTAAAATAAAAAACGGTGGTGGTAGATTAATCACGAAAAGTACACGTTGTAAATATGACAGACGGGGTAAATTCAAGATCAAATTTTGAACACCCAAGTAATTTTGAAATATTTGTCCATCTTTATAAGCATATATTTTAAAAAACGACGTGTGTTGAACATTTCATCGGAATCAGAAAATAAGACAATGCAAACTGCACCAAGCAAAAGAAAATTTGTAACCTACAATTCACAACTTTGATGATGAGAATAGTGGAACTAATGCAAATAGTTCCACTATTCTCAGCAGCTAATGATCTATTTTCGATATTTTTCAAGTTTTCTTTTACGAAGAAGTTGTGGAATTCATTAGATATATTTTTTTTAAATAAACCTAATTAACTTTTACTGTCAAATGTTTAGTATGTGTACTAACAATGCAGTACAGATACTGTGTATCAAAATCTGCTGTCGCGAAAGTGTTAAGTATTCCAGTTTCAGGTAATTAAAGATCACGAAGTTCTTGCATTTCTACAATGGTAGGTGTATGTTTTCAGGTGAGTCGAGAAAGCAAGACAGGTGGAGTTCCTGGAGGAGTTTCCACTGCCCTGGCGATGGGTGTGCCAAACGTTCCCATAATCGTCTGGCGTTGCGTCGAGGAGGTAGAGAGAAGGGGTCTAGACATCATTGGTATATTCTCTTCCTTTTATGTTCTAAGATCGCCTACCAATTGTACCTTTCAGTATCAATATTCATGGAGGAATTTTCGATTGAACAGGTTTGTACAGACTATGTGGGTCAGCAACGAAGAAGAGGATATTGAGGGAAGCCTTCGAGAGAAATGCCCGTTCGGTGAACCTGTCGCCTGACAATGTGCCCGACATCAATGTCATAACAGGTGTATATTTAATCATAGTAGCTAAGAGTAGACTGATCATAGAATGTTCATCGAGATGTTAACATTTTAATGGAATTTCTTAGGTGTACTGAAGGATTACCTACGAGAACTTCCAGAACCACTCTTCACGAAGTGCCTCTACCAAATGATGGTCGATGCGCTGGCCGTCTGTCTACCGGATGATCCGCAGGGCAACGCTAAACTAATGTTCAGCATACTCGATTGTCTACCAGAAGTAAACAAGGTTCGTATATGTACTAAAAATCTCCTAATTCACCTACACAACTAACGAGGGTGCTTCGCTGACACAAGATTACTCGGAATTACAGTGTACGCTAATTTACCTGTTGGACCACTTGGCAATGGTAGTGTCACAGTGCAACAAAATGTCCCCGGCCAGCCTGGCGGTCTGTTTCGGCCCTGTTCTCATGCTACACTCGGAGGAGACTGGACCACCGTTAGATTTCCAACAGCCGATCGCGGTGCTCAAATACCTTCTGGAGATATGGCCGGTTAAGTCAGGTAATGTCGTCATTTCTAACATTCCCTTCTAGACTACCTGTCGTGGCTTAGTGATTCGTTGTGATGCATTTTAACCCGGCTTGACGGAACACCCAAACCTGAACAATAAGAGCCGAATAATCAGTCGCTCCTTTCACAGACAGTTCGGAAGATTTCTTCAGTCGCTTCAGCGCTACCTCGAGTTACGCAACCAGTCGAGCACAACAACACTCAACAACAAATGCATCAGCAGCAGCAACAGGTACATCAACAGGTGCAGCACCAGCTGCAGGGAACATTGGGACGCACAGGGCTGCCCTGGCAGCAGCAACACTCACTTCATCAACAGCCCCCAACTACAACGCCCGGAGCCCTCGCGGCCTCCACTCGTCCGCCTCCGCCGGTCAAACCTCGACAGGTCAGTGGGTCTCTAGAGTTCCCGTCTTATCTCCACGACATTCGAGTTGATCTCTCTGGCCTCTCTTCAGCCCTTTCATCTATTAATGTACACGCTGGCTTCTGTCGTTCAAAGACTCCTTAACCCCTTGCCTTATAACATCGAGTCAGGCTCATGGTGACGTTATCAAAATGGATTCAACAAACAGAAATATTATTCGTTTTCTTTTAGTCAAAATGAAATATTAGTTTGCTGATATTAATATTTAACTTTTAGAGTAAATGTACAATTGCGATAAGTACAGGGATTTCTTTTGTTTCTGGGGGAATTATTAATGGTAAAGTAATTCTGGACACTGCAGACATCTAGAAAATCATAGGGCAAGGGGTTAATACGTAACTGAAACCTTTGGTAGTCCTTCGAGACCGATAGGTACTCGAAACAGAAGGACGAGAAGAGAAGCGAAAGAGATTCGACAGCTTCAAGTTTTCTGGTCTTAATGGTAAATCGATCCAAATAGTAACCTGAACTGGAAAAGAGTTCAGACCAGGAAAGTTGAACGAAACCATTTAAGACATGCGATAACTATCTCGCTATCTGCTTTTCTACCCGTGTAAGGTAGGTCAAGTAAAACGTCTCTTTCCCCCTCGTTTCGCTTCGCAGAGCTACACCCTGACGCGCTTTCATAATGTCAAAGTCAATAATACGTTCGATTCCATTCATTTACTCATTCATTCATTCATACATTCACTGAGATCGTGTCCAGATCACCGTGGCTCTCTCGTGACTACTTGTGTGTCTTGACGTCAGTCGTTGCAAATTATTCTTCTCGTGCAGCTTAACTGCTTGGTGACAACAGGAGGTAGCTTTGAGTGTAGTCTCCATGCTAGAGATGGAGAAATATCGATGGCATATCGATTATTGAAAAAATGAAAAAATGACTTTTTTGACGATGAAAAGTTAGAATAATATTTCTTGAAGAAGAAATGTTATAACTTTTCATCGCCAAAAAAGTAATTTTTTCATTATTATACGAATAGGACAATTTTTGGAAAGAAATAATTCATTAGAAGACTCAGATTCATTTATTTCGGAAGGTAAATGGGGATTTGAGAGAATTATGTAAAAAATATTTATCTTGACCAGCAACTTCTGTAGAATAATAAAAATCAGTGACTATTTTCTTAAACTATATACTACAAATATTTATAATTTTACATTTCTTATAAACATTTTATAATCATTTTTTTAAAAACGCACAATATCGATCAAACATTTGCATTTCTACGAGCTCCAAAGGTTTCTTTTAACAAACAAATTTTGTCGAATTTGAATTATCGGAAATAATCGATTATTATCGATACTTGGGAATCAAACTATCGATATTTCTTCACTTCTACTCCAAAAAGGTATAACGTTTTTTCCATTGGTGCACTCTTGAAGTTCAGCAAGCAGAGAAGCGGATCACATGTGGCGAAGAAATTGCAAAAATTCGTGGTCCGAAATGAATCCGTGTAAATATCAAGCACACCAAGAACGCCTCCGTGCATGTCTCGATGTGTCAGTTCTGTCCGTTACACGGGGTGGGTGATTGTTGTTGTTGTTTTTTTTTCTTTCTTTTGCTACTCGCCAGTCTCGACGTGTCTTTCCATTATAGTGAAGATTTACGTTGTCTTCTTTATCTTTTTTCGTTTTGGGCACGTATTCTTCAGAGCAAGCGCAAATTGCCGGCTCTACCAAACCGCTGACAGCACAGAGACGCCGCTTCTTGCACAGGTATTATCGTTATTATCATTTTCATTCCGCGTTTACAATCAGCCTTTAGTTATCGTTATATCACTTGCATGGCCCAGGATCAGATATCAGAGAACCGATACACACTCATGTCGTCTGACACTTCTCGTCACAGTTTTCGCAGACAGTCTGTGTGATTTCGGAAAACAATTGATGTGTAGTCTTTGGTTAAATGGTACAGAGTCTAAGAGAGTGTAAGAATTTTACGTGACACGAAATATCATTTTTATAGGAAAATCAATCTTTGATAACCTATGAGGTAACAGTAGAAAAGTCAGAATGATGCTTCTTTACGACTTTGTACAATGTATGTAGTGCAACTAATGGAAGGACTAATAGTCAGCATTCTATCATTCACAGAAAGAATTCTCCTCTTATACTAATTAAAGAACATACTTCAAACAATACCTCCAATAAATGGCTTTCATGAAGTCACTTGTTCGATATAAAGTGAAGACAGAATATATTCACTTGCAGTCTCTAGCATCCTTGCAATCTAGAATCACATGTCATGATATAAACCTTACAATTAGATAGCAGAGTGCGTGGAAGGTACGGAACAAGTGGTCTTCTCACTTCATTTAATTAGTGATGATACGACCCTTGGAAAAACTATGTAATCACTGATAGTCTGATGAACCGTTACTGTACCCTAGCATGTTGTACTCATACCACAACCGTTGCATCTTGAATTCAGTTCAACCATTCCTTCAACTCTACTACGTTTCAGCATTTCAAAGAAATACGCAGTATTCAGAATGTTTCAGTTGAACTGAGATCAAATGTACAATGTCATTCAGTCATCACCATTCAAATATTCCAGCCTCACACTAAACAGTCATCATTGAGAGACACTAAAAAGGCACTCCAGAATGTACAATCATACACAGTGACATACCATATCTCCTATTCTCAGTCAACCAACTTTACAAACACAGACTTTTCAGAGCGCAGGGTCTTCATTTGCAAAGTCACTTCACAAGAATCTTTCAATACCATTGACACCCATAAACACTGTGTATTCACTCTGCACATAATCACAGAACATCACGTCAGCTCTTCCCGTTCCACACTTTTCCTGATGCTTAACCCTTTGCACAGCTGAGATTTACCCGAGTGGTAACCAACCTGTTTCTACGTACAGTTATAAAAGTGCAAAGGGTTTTCAATTTCCTGTGAAGTACTTTAGATCAGTGCTGTCCACGACCAGGGCCCTTTTATCTGTCGTTGTTACCCTTGTCTGTGGGGGACAGAGTAAGCAAAGTGGATGGATGCACGTGGAAAGCTCTAGGCCTTTAGAGGTTCACGTTGGACAGCACTGCCTTAGACGAGCTTCGTGACCTCAGAATTAACGACGAAACGACGCTGACCGTGCGGGGCGTCCTCTGTCTGCACAGGTGATAGTCTCGTCACCCGGTTCACCTAGCAGTGAGGAGTCGGAAGCCTCGCCAGAGCCAATTAACAAGAGCCTTCTGGGTGGCCTGGGACTCGAGAAGAGCAACGACGGTGCCACGGCGGACACGACCGGTCCTGGAACAGAGCAGATCACACCGACCAGCAGCGTTGACACGGAGGAGGGTAACACACCGCATCTGGAAGAGGGCGAGAGAGGCGTCGAGGGTGACGCCGAGGCCAGCGACGACGATCGACACCAGCATGTATCAAAAACGCATTGAAGTCTTGTTGATCATGGGAAAGAATGGGGGTTAGGGAGGTGTGTGCGCCTTGAGTAGCTTGAATGTCTTGATCCGACTAAATAATTGGATAACAATCTCTTAGTTTTTCGTGAGAATGAAAGATTTAGCTGATGGGAATCACGAGGAAGAAACGTAGCAGCGTTGGGCATTGAACATATACCTTTAGTAAGCTGAGACCATGGTCCTGATTCAATTGATCGGCAATGCTAGATCAGAGACTGAAAATGTTAATAACTAATTGGTTGTTGATTGTTAAACTAATCTTCTGTCTCACTTTGGTCTAGTTTCTGTGGATAGGTTCAGTGTTAACACATTTTGTCGGAGGCAAGGGTAGTAGGTAACTTCTGGAACTATGACCAACCTTATTGTTGGTTCTCAGTGATCGCGGAGCAATTGAGAATTTTCGTTAATCCATGCCCACCTCTAATGACGAGTACAGATGTCTGATGAGGATGTTATACGTAAATATTATTATTATACGAGGAATCTTATTAATCCTAGCCTGTTGGAACAGGCGTTTATTGATGTGTTGGGAAGTTTTTGTTATCCGTAGGCATATTTATTTCGATATGTTCAGTGAACGGAGAATGAAGGTGATTCCTTAAGACGTTGCATGTACACTAATCTGATATCGGTTTCTTGATTCGTTGTCAGATGTCCTTATCTGCGACGATTTATCTTTCCTCCTTCAAGACCATTGGGTCTCTGTCTTCAAAAGATCTAGAATCTAGATCAACCGACAGAATTAGTAATTCACTACAGAGCAATTGTCTTAAGTGTTTCTCTTCGTCCGAATCCAAGATTTTCACGGCATGTTGGTGAAAACTAAGATGAAAAGAGACTACATTCTTTCTTCTTTTTATTTCTATCAACGATGCAACACGTTGCCATGCATCAGCATGGAGATCTGCTGCATCAACGGTTGCATCTGAAAGAACAGAAGACTTGCAAATCTAGTCAATAATATGTTTACCATTTTCTAGTCAATGATTTCTTCTTTGAAACCAAAAAAATATTTATTATTGCGATGTTGGTACGTTTAGAAATTTGCGATTTGTTCGTTGTAACGTTGTGTTTTCAAATATTTATGCGTGCTTCTATGGTAGTCAGCGCGTCGAGTTCCATCGCGTACTCATGTACACAGATATTCAAGGCTGAAAATCCTGTCGGCAGACGCACAATAAGAGCGATCATCTATAAGTTTCCCAAGAAAACCAAATGGAAAAAGAAAAACAATAACAAAACTGGAACGACGCGCATAAATGGGACCACCGCGACTGTTCTTCGAGAACTGATCCACGAGGACCGCGATCCAACGCTGAAATTGACGATCTGACGACCGCGACTGGACGCCACATTTGAGAGATTCTTTTTCTACACGTCGACGACTCTATACACACACACACCGATCTAAGGAAGATTTTTTGCACCCAAGCGGAAAACTTAAAGGACCCATTGCCAGAGCTTCAGGCTGCGAACTACTCTACACAATCATCAAAGACTGTATTTGATCAAACTGGTTCCTATTTCGCAACACCCTGCACAAAATTCGACTTTCAGACTGACTACGAATCGTCCATTCCAAATGGCGACACTCGTACACGCAACTGAAGCAAGTGGTCCGTACAAAAATCTTTGCATTTCGCGTGCGCACAAAAAAAAAAACACGACTTTTCCATGGCAGACCCTCTTTTTTCTAACCTATATTATCCGTGGGACCCCGCCTAGTCGATCGAGATCGTGGCAAGAGCCACCGAAGAAGAGAAACACGCTCCGAAGAACGTCTCGAATGCGTCCCCGGTGCCCTCAATACTGCGCAGATCCGCGAAACGACTGACAAACGAGGACCCTGGACTGCTTGTAGATCACTGGAACAAGATAGGGTCCTCTACTGATCGATGATCCACCGTGCTCACCCCAGAAGCCTCCACCGTTTCTGCGGTCGAGCTGTCACCCAGAGTTTAAAGTTATGTTCCGGCCTGTCGAGGCTTCTGAATCCTCAAGAAACACTTTCCAGATGCAGATATCTGGCTCCAAATGAGAAGACAGGTGGCTAGGACTAGTCAGAGTGACAGGAGATAAGGTTGCGCAGGTAGTACAAGGGGAGGACTGTTAAAGGATACGAAACCAGGATGGAGTATACACACACCCGGAGAGGACAAACGAACAAATCACACAGGATACGGCATTCGGTTTATATACTATATATATATATATATACATATTATATATACACATATAGGCTAGTCACGATATACATGTGCTTTTGATAAAAAACTATTATTTGTAGCGGGTAGCTACCCCCTCGTATACAGAACATCGGTGGGAACCGCTCTGGCGTACACATATACGACGATCTGCGTTCACATATACCAATTTAAAATGGCCCTGGAGAGAGAGAGAGACGAAGAAGCCGTGTGTGGTGTATGTGCACGCAGAACTCTAATAGGTATACATAAATATACATAAATTTCACCGCGGCAAGAGCCGAGGAACCGATTCCAAGAAGACTTGTACATGTTGACAATAGCGAAATCGACGAACAGAGAGGGTCAGAATGATGTGTAGATGGGGTTATATATCGGACCGATCGGGGCCCCGGGGAAGAGAAGTCGAATTCACCGAGAAACGATAATAATTACGAGTAATGAGTTAATTGTAACTTGTAAACGACTAAACATAGCCAGTATTATTGTGTACACGTGAGGAAGGAAGCATCGTTGGCAGAGCCGGGGAGCTAACCTATATTGGGTACCCCTGGAGTTCGTGTGTTCTATGGTCTCGATGAGGTGGTCGTGGAGCATTGATCATTATTATTACTACTGTTATTTGGTAATGTATGTAAAGTAACAGCTACATATATATGAATGCAGGCTGAGTCACTGAAGCTCGTCAGCTGGGTCCAGGTTTGTTGGTTCGGATAGAATATGTGGGACCTTACCAGGGTTCAGAATAGGAGTGATTATGTTTTATTAGATAAAGGTATTACAATTGATTCACCATCTGTCATTAGGTATAAGGAACGGGGTATGTTCCACTGGAGGAAATTCTGTTTGAAATTTATAGGGAAGAAGAGACTACAGCTGATGGTTTCTAGTGAATCGTAGGGTAAGAGTCGATAACTTCATTCACCTTGAATATTGCTGTCATTTAGAACATTGTGGGCAACAGGTCTCTCAGAAGACCTGCAAGTACATTTGAGTCGATGTTAGATAATGGGAATTTCATCTATCTCAATTATATGCAATGTTTTCTAGGTAAAAGTACACAACTTTTTATACAATTCGCTCTCAGCAGTGGCCAGAATGACAGAGATATTTTTGGCTGGATGGGATAGAGACTCGAACCATTATAAATAATGTATAAAATGTATGAAAAACAGTACGGCTAGGGTTGCTGAGTATCAGTGGACCCTTTGGAGAAGCATTACTCCAAGAATATACAGTCTACGTGTAATAAGACATATTTCTTTTTTTTATGTAAAGTTGATCACGAACAAAAGTTTCATTTTTAATGAGAGTACATGTTGGGACTGTCTGGGTCTTCAAAGGGTTGACTGTCATTGCCATTGCTTTCCATTACTCGTGTCCTCGTGAATAAAATGCAGTATGTACAAACGGCATACAATTTATCTTTTCTGTACCATCAGTGTTCAATAGAGAAAACACTGACTCGAAGGAAAATATGTTTATAGTTCTAAATTAACCGGATAAATGTTTCATTAAGTAATGAACATGGTTTAAAAATACACTGACAGTGCTCCCTCGCTATAGTCACGTCGTACACTACAAGCAACACGTTTATAGAGAACATTGGACAGTGAGTCACGTCCTGTTCCATCTAATTTGCTCATTACATCTCTCCCATCGTTGATACAAACTGAATAATGATATGCTTATATAAAGGTCAATGAAACGTGTTTATAGAGAGGGAATATTGTACAATTCAAGACCTGAGTAAAGAACAATAATTCAACGAGTCTCATTGATCAAAGACTATACAACATCTGCTGGGTCATCCTTTATTGGACATTGCTGTTATGGGTGTATTTGTATGCCTGTTGTATATACTTATATGCATCTTGCATATACCAGTGCGCTCTCTTCTTCCGCACAGAGTTACAAGTTGTCGGTGGCATTATCAGCCGAGAATCGCCGATCATTGTATAGTTCAGTGTACCATAATTCGTGTAGCCACGCCCTAATCGTATGGAACCCCGAATGTTTGGCTATCGTTCGATGTTCAAACGCGACGGAACGTCGGATACCAGCCGTTTTACGCTTCCCTGGAGAACATTTTCTCGGATTTTGTGTTATTTTTGGTCTCTCCGTGAAGTTCCATGTCAGTGGTTTTAATTATAGCATTGGTAGGGCTGGAGGTCTAGTGTGCTGCAGTGTTGGTAGGCCTGGAGGTCCGGTCTGCTGCAGTGTTGGCAAGACTGGTTGACTTGAATCACTTATTACGTTGGTTAAACTAGGGAGTGTGTAAGATATAAGATTGAGGGGGATTTACAGTCACTTGTTAGTTTGACAGAATGTGTGTTTGGAACATGGACATTATCGAGCAAACTCGGCTTCCGCTAGGGGAAAGGCCTCCTACCACTTAGTAAATTTATTTCAAGTACTGAAATAAATATTAAATTGAACGATAATTTGGCATAAATTTCAATAATTCCCAATACCAAGTGGTAGGAAGCCTTTACTTCTACGCCACTTTTTCCCCTAGTGGAAGCCGAGTTTGCTCGTGGGTGGACATCGTGAAGATAAGGAATTAGCATTGAGTAAGTAAAAACTTTGTGTCGAACAAAAGTTAATTGACTCGATATTCCACGGAAGGAACAGAAATGACGCTAATCTGTTGACCAGTTTCTTACTAAGAATGTTAACATAATCCTTATATTGTTATACTCTTCTGGTTTCTGTGTTTATACTATTGTTTTATATATTTTGTATATTGGGACGATGGCACCTAGTTCTTGT